GGTGGCCTGCCTGCAAGAATGACTAGCTACTTGTTAATCTAGTTCTCCGCGTGATCGATTGCCTTTTCCTCTCCCGTGCTTCGGTCGGGCAAACTTGCAGTTCGTTTTAATTGCAAGTACTAGGTGTGGGTTACAAAAATACCCTTTTACTTAGTGTTATTTATTCCATGAGTTCTTAAGTGCTTCAGTTTGTTTTGTTGTTTTTGCGGTGCCCTCCTCCCGAGCGCAGGTTGACACAGGGACAGGTTAAGACACTCATTCATGAACGCTCACCTGACCACAAACGGAACTCATCTGTCCCGCTCCGCATTAGGCCTCGACAGAGGCCCTAACAGCCGTAACAGCTGGATGTAGGCAGATGGTATTGCCGGCAAAGACAAGGGACACTGGAATGTCCCTTTCTGGCTCAGCCGTCGTCAGCCTGTCATACCCAGACTCAAGTGCTGACCCACGCGAACCTCGAACTCGCGACCTTTTTGATCAGAGTCAAACGCCCTAACCATTGAGCCACGAGCTCGCTGTCTAGCCGATTTAGGTCACGGTATATTGACACTCATTGTTGGTTGAGACGCTATGACCTCTGGTTGTTGTTCTTCTTCTTGTTGAACTTGATATTGGATGCGTGGTAGGTGCAACCTTCACCGACCAGGCTAGTGGGGTGGTTCGTTCAACGGTTGAAAACTGACTCCCACTCATTGTAATTTGCAGTTTTTGAGCCCACAACAGTTGACCTCATTTTCACTTGCAGTTACTGTTCTGCCTAATGATTCATTTTTTTCCTCCAGCCCACCATCGACCCGGCTCTGGTCTCCCCCGAAGTCGCCCAGTCTCTGGTCGAATCAATGGAGGAGGATACAACACCCGTCCTCGATGAAGAACTTGACAGGTCGAATGAGCTCATGGAATCGGAGGAGACTGCGAGTGAAGACGTCGAGTTTGAGGAGATTATCATGCAGCCACCGTCGATGACGGACTCATTGCCCTGTATTTGCATCCCTGATGTGAGTGGCCTTTCTGCACGCACGCGCGCGTTCACTATTTTCTCACATATTTTGTTTCTTATTTTCTGCTCGGACAACTGTTTATCTGCTTTTTTTCACACCTTGAAACTGCCTCTCTCTAGGATGCCTCTGCGAGAGATAAAGCCGTGTTTGAGACGGCAAACGCGTTGGTGGATGAGGTCCTTCTGCAGGACATCGATTTCACTTCCCTGCCCTTCATTGCCTTTGAGAATCTCCGCGAGAAGAATGATGTGAGTACGATTTTTCTCCCTGCGAGGGACACAGTACTCATTGTTATTATTATTATTGCAATAACAAAAGCGCTCTTTAGAATTGAGTACCCTCTTTTCGTTTACTCTCCGCAAAGGAGAACAGCATTTAAGGACACCGGAATCTCGCGGCTAGGTTAACTCAGGGTTTGCCTACCCGCAGGGATCATAAAAACCCAACTCTGGAGGGTGTTCGTCTCTTCACCTGTATTCATTAAAGTCAGATATATTGGGCAGGTTCGGTCTCATTTACCGGCAGGTGCTCCATTGGAAACCCAATGGTTTGCAGATGTGCACCGAAATGCCCAGAATGAAACCTCAACTTCAGCGACAATTGTTTTCTATGAAATTAGTTATTTTTTGGTGGGACCCTTGCCGATCACTTGCGTACACATGCAAGCTTGTATGTCCTTTGGCCCCGGTATGATTTATTTGCCATGCTTCTAGTATTCATATGAAATGTACTTTAGCTGCCTCGAAAACTATTCAAAGAAAAAGAACAGTTGAGAGACATTTCCCTCGTTGTGCAGAGAATGTGAAAACAGCAGACGATATTATCGGTTTGAAATGAAAAAAGCTGGCGTGTGCTTTACTTGGAACGTAAAATGAGAGGTTGTGTGCGTGAACCACCTACCTACGTACCTACCGCTGGTAGTTCAGCTCATGTGTTAGGAAGGATTTCTGCTTCTGTCATGTGTGTGTGTGTCGTAGCCCATTGTTCAATCAGGAGTCCCCGCCGGAATCTAAA